AAAATGTATAAACTTTTACTGAAATTTGAAACAGAAGAACAAGTGAAAGAATGTATGATAATGTGCGCTAAAAACTTTGGTTATAATATACAGATGGACCAATGCGGCTGAAAGGATTGAAATTTACACTATGTTATAATCTTAAAGAGAATTCTTATAAAATGATATACCACTGGTATAGGCTACCAGAGAAATTGGCTAGAATGTATAAAAGCACTTCAAATTTATCTTGGAAATGTGAACAAGAAATGACATTTTATCATGTTCAGCGGACATGTAAAAAAGCTAGCAAATTCTGGATTCAAATACATGCACTGATTCAGAGGATTTTAAAGATTAATATACAATTGAGACCAGAAGTTTTTCTTTTCTGATTGGCAATCATGGATCTCCAAAGCTACTGGGCAGGGATCTCTCATGTAAATGAAAGTGCCAGATTGCATGTCATCTGGAAGGTAAACTGGAATTGTTAATTCCAGAAGCAGATGACATCAATGTGCAAGAAGTTAAAAAAGAGGTGTTCCAGCTCTTATCTGCCAAAGTTCTCACACCATGCCTTCAATTCTGTTAGCAGCATTAAGGACAGTGTGGGCAACTGAAGAAGGAAATTATGGCTTCATTAAAAAGGGCCACTCTATTTAAATTGGAGCTCCTTCCAGGGAAATCTGGGCCATGCCTGCCACAATATCCACTTAAACCAGAAGCAGAACAGGGCATTCCCCTGTGACTAATTTGCTGCTCAAGCAACGGGTACTTAAAGAGACCTCCTCTGAAGAAACCAGGAAGTGATCTCCCAAGTATTGCTTGGTGCAAGACCTAAGGCAGATCAACCAAGTCATTCAATTAATAACACCAGCGGTAGCCAATCCTTACACCATTCTATCAGCCCTCCTGGGGACAGCAACATTTTCCACTGTTGGGCTCGGCAATGCCTTTTTCTCTCTCCCACTCCATGAAGATTCTTGGTAGTTACTAGCTTTCACCTTTCGGGGCCTTCAATATATGCATTTGCATGCCCCTCAAGGCTTAGCTTTAAGCCCAACGTGGTTTTCAATGACTCTTACAAAAAGTCTAGCAACTTTTTCCAGCCCCTTGCCAAAGCAGAGCGCTATTTTGCAATATGCTGATGATGTACTGATTGCAGCTGCCGAAGATGATGCATGCCACGGAGTCACTTTAGCCTCGTTCGGGTTCCTTTATGAGGAAGGCTACAGCGAATCAAAACAAATTACAGTTTGCTGAGACTCAAGGCAAGTTTATATGATGGCAAGGACTCAGGAAAAGATGGATTGTGTATGTATGAATATTGTGAGGTAGATTGGAAGTGTGTTGAAAGGACCTCAAGTTAGGTCCAAGGAAGCTATTCGTGCCTAAAAAACACACACAAACCAGATTATACCGGTTTAAGGTGAGATAGAAAGGGGTTGCCTCAATGGCACATGTGTGTAGATAAGAGTAGCTGAACTTTCCTAACCTTTAGCTGATTATAATAGTAAGTTTCCCTCCCCTTGTGAGGTAATTCCACGCCCTAAGGTGGAGACCTTGATAAGGAAGTAAAGAAGGGTTGTTATGCAACAGGTTGTTACTGCGACTGCGCGGTGTTGTGATCAATGGAAAGTTTGTAATTTTGTTACTTATAGCGGTTAATGAAAGACTTTGCTGCTCGAGGCAAGGGGCTCTTGCTCCTTTAGAGCCGGGAGCGTTTTTTGCTGAAGTACTTCAATAAAAAGTTTATTCGCTCCAACCTGTGTGCTTATTGGACTCACACATCAGGAGGAATTGCCATTTTTGGCCAATGTATAGGCCGTATAATATCACACGGCCAAGGCTATTGATCCAGAATGGGTTCAATGCCACCCCTCAGCTCAGTCAGGCAGCTGAGGTCTTTCGTTGGAAAAGTGGGCTACTGCAGGCCGTGGATTCCACAAGTGGCTGCAAAGCTACAACCACTTGATGAAGCTGCCACCAGAGACTCTTTTGTCTGGGGTCCTGCCCAGCAACAAGCATTTGAGCAATTAAAAGCAGACCTTGTACAACCACCAACCCGGGACTCCTGGACTATACTAAAGACTTTCATTTGTTTTTGGCTGAGAAAGAGGGCTATGCTCATGGTGTTTTAACTCAGCAACACAAGGACTCAAAAAGACCACTGGCCTATTTGTCTTACCAGTTGGATCCAGTTGCCCAAGCTTACCTACCTTGTCTATGGGCAGTGTCAGCAACAAGTTATTGACTCATGCCAAGGACATTTTGCTCCAACACAATATAATTGTACACGTGCCTCGTGAGGTTCAGGCTCTTTTAAACCATGGGCATCTTTTACCTATTTCAGCATCCCGCTTCACATCTTACGACATGCAACTCTTGCAGAATCCAAGTGTGACTCTTTCAAAAGCTCCTCTTTAAAATCCAGCTGCATTTTTCCTGCCTCCAATGCAAGAGTACCAAGACTGCCTGTCTTTCACAAGAGCAGCCACAAAGCCATGAGAGAATCTGAAAGATGAACCCAGTTTCAATGCTGAATTTGAAATTTACTCTGATGCAACTAGTTTTATCATTGGGGGGGGGAGAGCACATGGCAGGCTATGCAGTCACCACAGAACATCCCGTTATAGAAGCTGACAGCACTGACACACACACACACCCGGCCCATTTAAGCCCAAGTGGCAGAACTAGTAGCCTTACATCAAGCCCCGTCCTATGTAGGGACGCAACCAGCTAACATCTATACTAATTCAAATAAAATTTGGCTCTAGGATGCCTAGCTCTTCAGACTGTTACAATCCTATTGCTTTGTACTGGGCAATGTTTGACTGGTCTCTTTAACAACTGCCTCCAGAGGAGCACAAGGCTAAATCCAGGTGGTCAAAAAGGGGGAGGACTGTGAGGAAAATAGGTTTTTAGAGGCTTCAGATGAATAAAATTGAAACATACAGTAAAAGAACGTGCAGCACCCTTGAAGCTGGGGTGAACCAGGATGGTTGTAAAAACCTGATCACAAACATCCCTACAGCAACCAAGACTTCTGTCTTGAAGGAGGATGTGTTCCTCCTGGCATTTGGCACCTTGAACTGATTTGTTTCTTCTTCTCAGTAAGGCTATTTTTTCCCTTGTAGATAGTAGAAGAGCAGAGGGGCAGAATGTAACCTGAGATCTAATACTCACTTATGTATGCCTGCATCATCATATGAATATGAATGTGTGCATCATTTGTCCCTTCCCCTTTTTCAAAATGTACAAATATCAGAGCATCTCTTTTGCTTGTAAGGGAGTGTCTCCCACTAACCCTTGGTGGGGTCCCCCTCCAGTGCGCACTGTCTAATAAAACAGCAGTGAAGCCTTGATTATTTTGCATTGGAGTCCTGCATTTTGATTCCATGCTGTGTTTCAACAAAATCAGAAAGCATCTTCTTCACCTGAAGAAAGTTAGCTTAAAAAACAATCACAATGGTTATTATAAAATGATGGACAGGGCTATGACATCTATCCCTGAGGCACCTTGTGACCAAATAAGCCACAAGGTGTCTCAGCATGGATATAGGGTGGGAGAGTGGAATGAAGTTGGTCAGCAACTGAGCACAGATTGGAAGACAGTCCTGTTGGCTCAGCTGGGGATCTGGTCATTTAGAAACATTCTCAGTGACACTGATTCATTTAAAACTTACAGTCCTGTTTGTACATCACAGCCAGCCGGGCCAAAGGAAGAGGGGTGAGCGTGCAAAACCTGGATCAATTGACCCAGCTCATTAAAACTGATGGGGTTAGATTTAGTTCTGCAGAATCATGCGACTTTAGGGGATTGAACTAACTTTCCTTGGTCAGTCATATCATCCAAACAAGATTAACCTTTCCCCTATCTCTGGCAAGAACAATTTCCAAATGGTGTCTCTAGGCCAGAGTTTCCCAACCTTAGCAACTTTCAGTTATGTGGACTTCAACTCCCAGAATTCCCCAGCACTCCATCTTTGTGGCCATTTCAGTTGTCATCTTGTAGCAGCCACATGGGAGGTCAAAAACGGTGTGGAATGGGTGGAGACTGGGTACAACCTCTCCAGCTCTGACTGTGGTAGCCTCAACC